GATCCAAAAACCGTGTTTTTGAGACATAATTTGTATGGGCTCACATGAGGGGGCGTGAGCTTGAAATCGTAGCTGACCAAATGTTAACAGATTTTTTTTTTGATGAAGAATCTTTCAAGAACAACAAAAGCTCCTTGGGGCTTGACGCTGTGACGTCACGTGAAAACGCTCTATACTCGCGCAAAGAAAACGATATGGTGCATTTCGATTCGATTTCACTGCATGGTTTTTATTATGGGAGACATTATCTTCAATTTAAGATCTTTTTCCCCGATTTTTTTTCCTTTTCAGATTTATTTAAATTGGGCTCCCTTTGAATTGTGTATCAGGAGCTCAACTTTTAGGCAGTGCCTAAATTTATATATTAGATTTACATGTAAGTAATTTTCATCTAAGCCACTAGTACTATACATGTACACTTCATAAAACCTACAACATTTACAATTCATCATTGAGAATAAAACAAAATGTCGCTTATTTTAATTTTGCAAACACGTTTTGTGTGAATACATTCAAGGTGAAGATAGGCATTTATCAAATTTCACGTGATACTAAATACAGTTGCATGGAGAATTCTGTTAGTTTTTACTCACGACTCATTTGATGTCGGTGATATCTTACCTTTTTTTTAAAAAAAGAAAAAAAAATGAATTACAAGTTAGCATGACTAAAATTGTATCGAACGTTTGAAATAAAATTCATTCGATTCATTCCATATCCTATAGCCTTGCTTTTAATCATGTAAAAGTAAAACAGATAGCCGACCAAAAAGGAGTTCATTTATCACAACAATTTCTGGCATGTGTAAACAAAATGCCCACGTTTTTGTTTCCGAGAAGCGTTGGTTATTTAAAAGAATTGACAACATTACTTAAAGCAAATGGGAATTGAAAAAGCTGTGTAAATATAATCAAGAACGTTTTAGATAAAAGTTCGATTCTGTTATTGAATAACAATAGTACGTAACAGATTTTGTCTCCTTCCGTTCTGTTTGTTCATAAATTTCACATGTGTCATAACTAAACTTAAATTATGCATTTTAATATCTTTTGAGTTCTATTTTTAAATGTATTTTCTGTTTCACTTAACTATCATAGCTTTTTAGTTTTATCTCATACACACACACACACACACACACACACACACACACACACACACACACACACCCATGAGTATATATTTTATCTAATTCTGCAAAGAACGTGAGCGATACGGAAAAGACCATGCCTGATATGAGACCGTATCAGTACGATAGAGTTTAGAGGGAGTTTGAGCATCTCTTTGCAGAATTCACCTTTTCGGCGCTAGCTTGGGTCGTGTTATGGTCATCAAAAAGTTCGGACATTGTTTTCGGATTCCCATATAAATTCACTGACTTTAAAGAGGAAATTTAGGTAGATTTCTTTAATTAGCTCTCTTAACAGCAGTAAGAAAAGCTTCAATCAATCTAGAAAAATGATCATTTACTTGTATTTAGAGAACTAACTAAACATTAACTTAGAAATAGTTCATTTAGAGTAAGTACATTTGTACGGAAATTCGAGAACAATGTCCGAACTTTTTGGCGACCGTAACACAATCTAAACCAATTTATACCCCGTGACGGCTAGCGCCGAAAAGGTGAATTAAATGATAAACAACTTATCAGCCGGCTAAGCATCTGATACGGCTGTGCATTTTTACTCGTCACTTTTATTTTCACTCTCCTAAAGGTTTGCCAAAATACTCCGTGACTCTTAAAAATATACAGCCGTATCAGATGCTTAGCAGACTGATAACCTCTATATATTCTTTGCTAGTTGTAGATTATATTTTTTTCCTATTCTATTTATTCTAATTGTAAAGCATAGTTTATGGATTTGGCACTATTTTAGTTATAGTTATAGTGATTATGATTATGATTATGAATATGATTATGAATATGATTATGATTATGATTATGATTATGATTATGATTATGATTATGATTATGATTATGATTATGATTATGATTA